GCAAGAGATATGGTACATCTCCTCACATGAATCACATACTAAACAATCCTTCCCATTTGCATGGCATCCGCAGCACCTGCAAGTGCATGCACTGTGCACACCACAATCCTCTGTTTGCTCCAGTTTAGCATGTGAGTCAGATCCCAAGTGGTAGAACTGTTTTAAAGTGGCAAACGTTAGTATACTACTAAAAACCAGCTGATCAATGCCTTGAAAATTTAAATAAAATTGTATGAATGATAACTGAGATGCATTTAGCCAGACATGAAGTAGATTGACAACGAAAACGACAAAAATTGTTTTCAGAATTCTTTAATTGTCAGGTGACTCCATTCTCATCACAATAATTAAACAAATCACTGTTTTCACATATCCCAAAAGACATGAAACTCTAAAAATGCTGAGAGGACAAAATCCTACAAGTGACAAGTATGCAAAAGGAAAATAGGCAATAGTTAGAAAAGTGAAAGTAACAACTACTTTAAAAGCGTAAACACATAAGAATATTAGGAGATTTCTGAAAGCGTTTCCTAAATTTATATTTCCAAGGCACCAAATGCACCATACAGTCTGGCAATTCATCAGATGTCTGTGATTCGGCAAACTCAATTCTATGTTAAAATTAGAAAACTCTTGTACCTCATTTTTTCCATATTTCAATGTATTGCGGACTGAACCTCCCACCTGAGATGACAGATAAAATAATTTGCGAGATCAAGCTTACAACACCACAGAGTGACCATACAATAAGTTATTTCTGGAAGTAATAGATTTCTTTAAACTAAATCTTCAGGTATTTGGACTAGACATCTCTTCAACTGAATCACCTAACCTGTTCATTGTAAGAAGCCCTAGACATGTCCGAGAGGTTTCTTGCAAGAGAAATCAAGTCGGTACCGATCATTTGAAGTTTTCTCCATACCTGTAAAATATTCAGGTTCGGAATATGTAATTGACACACCAAAAAAAGGCGGAATATGATGAGACAATTTAGACTTTAGGACATAATTAGTGAAACAGGTGGGAGACTTTCAAAGTGTATACCATTCACACATATACATCTCAAAAGAAAAGACAATTAGAATCATATGTCATGTATATCAAGCCTCAGAAAGATGGTCATTCAAAAGGAAAGCAACCAAAAATGTTCACATGTCTCCAGGTACCTATGCCTCACCATGACACATACATTAGCCAATAAAATTTAAGACCGCCAAAACATTGCAAAAAATTTAAAGCAGGGCTATAAAAATTACAAGCCATGAAGAACATTAGTACACTAAGACTTCAAACTAATATCCAAACCTCACTTGTATGCATAGTTTTCTGGTACTTTCTAACATTTACAGAATCTTTTTCACTCATAAATATGCCAAGTGATGGGATCAAAATTTTCATGTAGCAGATAGTTTCACTATCAAAATCACCTTTTAAAGAATTAGTCAAAGAGTGTTTTCACAAAGCAGGACTTTACCAACCAATACCTTCAACTTGAGCCAAATAATGAAGAGCATACTGAAAATACATCAATCATACGTTCATAATCATTCCCAAAATGGTAAACTTATAAAAGTATTACTTTTAAAGTTATCTGTTGTACACAAACATGCTTTGAATCATTAACCTCATATTATCACATTCACACCATGATATTAAGCAGAATATAAGAATGTATTATCATGACAGCTAAAACATAAGACCATCCAACTTACCTGTTGCATATCATTTGAGAAGAGCATTGGAGAATGCTCATAATCTCCCCTTTTCATCCTTGAGTTTATGAGACTAAAGTCGAAAACGCTGTCAGCCTTAATTCCTTGAAAATTTTGCAGCAGGACTTTACACAACGAGGTGAACGTTTCGGAAACTAAAACATTATAAAAAGCACGCTGACACATCGCTGTAACTGTATGATGGTTTGATTTATTTGAAAATCCATTCGATACAACACCAGCATTCATGCTGGCTGCCTTTTGAGATCCATTCAATATAGACTGTGTCAGAAAACAGCATCGGTGCCTATCCTCATTATAATCACCAGATTCCTGCAACACAATAAATATAACAGAATTTTAAAATCAAATTGTCTTGAAACTCAAAAGTATGAAAGCAATGGCCAATAGCCGATAAATCTGCTATTATATGTGGAACACATGGACTCTTGGTTGCTGCACAAACCTTAACTCGCGTTGTGTGATCAATCTCTCGAAAATGTGCAAGTGCTTCCCGGATGCACACTTGTACACCACCTTCACCATCGCCTAATGACCGATACATGTTCTCCAGCACAGCATCTGTACAGTACCTCTCTGAGCATGCATCTGAACTGTTCATTCGAACATGGACTTGCTCACAAGAGTTACTGTGTATATCTGTGCCCACTGGTTCCTTTAGAAGCTACAGAAATCAAACATGTTGAATGAGAAAAACAAGGACCAAATAGTCCCATTGGCTGGATTGAAGGAAATGTAACTGAAGACATTATATCTCTATGTGTGTACATAAAACTTTTTATTCGAGGACAACGTAGATTACATAACATTTGTAGCTCATTATAGCTAAATTAGCCATATTGTAAAGCACCACAATGAGGTATTCATGATCCAGGGAAGAATGCTCATACATTGCTCCCATTGTTTATCACAGTTTTCAAAGCTTCAAGTAAAATTAACCCATAATAAATCACAAAAATTCAACTTGCAATCGAGAAATTCGCTTTCACACTTACCCTGAAAAATAAACCTCTCTCATTTTCCTCCTATTAGCAGTGCCCCCTAAATAGCCTAATGAGTTCTCAAATGCATTAATGAGAAAAGTAATATGCGGTCCTCCCTAAGTCTTCATTGTTCTGAGTTAAAAACTAAACTTTAAAGTTTAAACTCATTGGGCGCTCAAAATTTATGAGCCTTGTTATAATTTTTACATAAGGATGTGATTCATAAGCTATTTTTTCTGTCTAAACTAAGTACAGCTTACCAGTGCTCAAGTCGAATTCCGTTAAAATTCAACACAAAAAAATTACAGGGGAGAAGGGAGATCAGCGAACATAATAGAATATTACAGTCCTGCTTTACAAATTGTCTAATTAATAAAGAATATTGTTTTTGTCAACATGAAATAATAGCGCAGAGCAATAGCTACAGGTATACCTGGTTTGCCAATTGACTCGATGATTCCACATCAGCTCCCCCATAATCCTGTGACTTGCTATCCCAACTGAACCTCGCCTGCCTCCGCCTCTTGTAAGTTCGAACACCCTCACTAGCGCCAGAGCTGCCTTTCGCAGCGTCAGTAGAATTCCCAAAACCAAATCCATTGGATTCACTCTTCAAGCATTCGACTTCCTTCTCGCATTCCATATTACCACCATTGCCTTTACCTTCTTCGACTCCCATTCCCAATCAAACCTACTTTTCTCACACTTCACAGTGCGAAAAATTGGGTTTCACAGCAGCAACCTAGGTTACAAATTCCAATGTTTTCAGCACTTGGAAAATTTCAGAAACCTAAAAAATGAAAATACCAGAAGACATACAAACCAAACCAGCCACAGTAAAATCCCCCATTGTTTGGTAGCCGAGAAAATACAAAACTTCAAAGTCTCTAGCTTTCATTCTCTTAAGAAATAAATCTAAAATTCAACTACGCTGAACCAACCCAAATCTTCGAATCCTTAGTAAAGCGCAATTTGTTGCTTACATCGAGCAAACTGAGAATTTAAAGTTCAAGACTTGGTTTTCCTTTTCCTTTCTGTTCACACATTTTCTCGGCCACAAAACAGAAATCAAAACTCACAAAAAATGGAAACAGCAAAGGAGAGAGAGTGAGAGAGAAGAAAGCTGACCTGAGGGAACAATTTGGAGCGCCCAAAAGAGAATCGAAACCCTAGAAATCTGAGGAGGAGCGGGATGTTATGACTTGTGGGAGACCTGGTACAGTAAGATGAGATTACTCTCTCTTATCTGGGAATTTTTAACACACTGACAACACACGGAAAGAGTTTGCGACTCGGACGGTAGAAAGAGGTTATTGAGTGTGGTTTTTTTTTTTTTTTTTTTTTCGGGTCAAAAAAGTTTATAGAGTTTTAAATAAAATCATATAAACGGTTAAAAGATCTCTAAATTGAATAGTTTTGTGCTTATAGAGTTTTTAGGTGATCATAAAGAAAATAAATAGTCTGATTATAATGTTCAGACAGTAAAAATTTGTTATTCGTAAGTCCCCTGTATGTGAGGAACACAAGCATTATCCTTACTTTTTTTCTTGCTCATTATATATTTATACTTTTAATCATTATTGGGTTTTTTTATGTCTGTTAAAACTTTACTTCGTCCTCTTCTTAAAACTTAATTTGGGCTACTTTATTCCGTAGAAGTCCATTTTCATCTAAATTTTGCTATATTTTGTGAGAATTAAATGTTTGACGTGGCATGAGTGAGGCTCACCTACATGTTAATATGTTTGTCACATTAGTGTTTCATCAACTTAAAATATTTTTATAAATTAAAAAAAAAACAAAAACAAAAAAAAAACCGAGAAAAGTGCATGACGGGTTTAATGAAAAATTAAAATGGATGTGTAAAATAATATTTCAAGGTGGCTATGGCAATTTCTTGTAGGTCAACGTTTGTTGGTTATTTACAACTTCTTGTTACATGTAACTTGTAAGATTGATCTATCAATAATTTGAAACTATTTATATAACTCGTAAAGTAATCAGGTCGTGGCACATTAGTTCAGAATAGATGAAAAAAAAAAAAACAATCGATTTAGATTTATTGATATTAAAATTTTCAAACATATACGTCATTAAAATTGGGATATCAATAAATCAAATTGTTTCGAAAACTCAATTCCTTAACTTTAATGACAAATTCGATACCAAATTAAGTTGCATATTATATGATTTAGCTGAACTTTCATTCCTCTTAATGAAAAATTATATCAATGTACTCAAAATAAAAAAGAAAAAAAGAATAATTATATAGATTATTTGACAATTATGGTTTGTAAGAGGTAAACTGGCGACAACATTAATCATTCGACTTCGCCACTCTCTCACTCACTTTCTTTAATTTCATCCGACGGAGACGATGAAATGCATATCGTGCCTGGAGGACTACGAATCCGACGACGCCGGCACCTGCAAGGAGTGCTACGAGGAGGCCAACGAGACCGAGGAGGAGCTCAAGCGCGAGATCGACGACCTCAAGGCCAAGGTCGCCTTCCTCCGCCTCACTCGCTCCCTCCCCGCCTCCTTCTCCGACGTCGTTTTGGTTGCCTCCGAGGATGCCTCCGCCGGCTCCGCCGTGCCTGTGCCGGCCCATAAGGCCGTTTTGGTCAGTCCTCATTCAGATTTACCTTGTTTTTGTTGTGAACTTGTTGGTAGCTGTGATTGTGGGTCTACGAGCTTGCGCACAAGTTGTTTGCTTTATTGCCTGAATGAAACGTAGGTACCGGGAAATGGTTAATTTGAGAAGAGAATTTAAATTCAAGTTCCTATTTACTAATTTCTTTTGGGAAAAGTAATCTCCTTTTCAACAATTCAATCATTTGGGTAAGTCTTGGGATTTTCATCAATTGGTAAATTTGGTTTTAACTATTTAGTTGCATTATATTATAGTCTGATTAGAAATATTGTTCTAATGACTCAGTTTGATTATATATAGGGTGTTATGAATCTATGACTCGGTTCATATATAATTCATTGAGAGGCATTAAACAAAACTTGTTTGATTATATATAGGGTGTTATGAATCTGTGAGCATTGTTATTCCATTTTTGTTTGATGTAGTTTATTGTTCATGTGGAAAGCTTTATGCTTTGAGTAGATCAAATGTTCGTGGGAAATATAGTTCTGTTTTAGCGTTTCCGTCTTTGAATTTCTTTCAAGCATTTGGTCGCTTTATCCAGGTGAGCCGTTCTCCGGTGTTCAAAGCCATGCTTGAGAATGAGATGGAAGAGAGCCTGAGTGGCACCATCAAGATCAGTGATGTGTCCTATGATGCCCTTCGTGCCTTCGTCAACTACCTCTACACAGCAGAGGTATGCCTTGACGAGGACATGGCGTGTAACCTCCTAGTACTGGCTGAAAAATACCAAGTGCAGCATCTCAAGGTCCATTGCGAGAAGTTCTTGGTGTCAAAACTGAACTGGGAAAATTCCGTTTTGAGCTACACCTTTGCGCACCAGCATAATGCGAAGCATATCATTGACTCGGCATTGACATTGATCACAGACAACATGGACAAGCTTACTACCCGGGAGGAGTACGTGGAGCTAGTGGAGAAAGATCCACGACTTGTAGTCGAAATCTATGAAGCTTATCTCTCCAAACAGGTGAATACAGCTGCCCAGAAGGATTCTTCCGTGAAGACATAGGTGCTCGTTGTCCCGACCTGAATCTAGGATTCTTTGTGAAGATATGATCATACGAGTTTCAAATTGGTCTTCTCTTTTTTTTTGTATAATTAAGTAGATGAACTAGCTAGTGAAGATACAAATATCAAGTGGTAAACTGTTTGTGGTAGCACATGGTGCATTTTAGCGTGGGTGGCATCACTTTACTTAATCTCCAAGGCCCATGGCATCTGCCTTTCTCGCTGTGTTTTCATTGGCTTCTCTCTCTTTTGAACTTTCTTTTTTCTGTTGGTGCAATGAGTCACATTCATTGGGTACGAATCCGGCATACGCAACACAATCGGTATTAATTATCAAACAAACCCTACCAAAAGAAATATTATTATACCGTAGTAACAATGACGCTTCCTCAATGCCATTAGCTAGGACGGGCCCACAACCTCATCCTTAAAACTTTCCACGAAGGTGCACAATAATTGAAGTGGCAAGACCAGTACTAGTAGAGAGTCTACGTTTCTCTTTTGGTCAATATAGTGGAGTTGAGGTTCACGTTCGTGTTTGATCACCCACTCGGAAGAATGCGAAGGCAACGATTCAATTGCAAATCTTGCGAAGGTGGTTTCGACGGATATGGCGGCGGCATGTACTGCAAGGGGTGCTACATGGAGGCCGACATGATCAAGGTGCAGTTGATGGGTGAGAACGAAGAGCTCAAGGATAAGATTGAATTTCTCAAGTTGTGCTCGCCGTCGCCGACCACTTCTACTACGTCACTGGCAGCTTCCTTCTCCGACGTCGTTCTGATTGCCTTGGACTCTGACAACTCCCCTTCTGAGCCGCCCGTTCAGGCTCATAAGGCCGTTCTGGTTAGTATCATTTTGCCAACCTTACGCTGCTTTACTGAATGAAGATGTAAGCATGTTTAGGGGACGTTTGCTGCTGCTTTTCTAGAAAGCACTTAGGCTCATAAGTGCTTTTAATAAAACCAGTGTTTCTCTTATAGCCTGTTTGGTATCTTATTTGAAAATTTTTATCATTTGTCAAAACATTTCTTAACAACATTTCTTGAAAACAATTTTATTTAAAACTTAAAAACTTGATTGGTTTACAATTTAAAATTTTTAAATCTTACGACTTAAACTAGACAAAAAGATTTAAAGAAAGGGAATCGCAGGAGAGGGAGAAAAAGAAGAAATGAGGAAAGAAAGTAAGAGATGATTGAAGGAAAGAGAAAGAAATGATACAATTAAACGAGATATAGAGGAAAAAGAGTGAGAGAAAGAATCGAAAGAATGAAGATAATTGAAAGAAAAACGAAAAAAGTAAAAAAAAAAAAAAAAAAAAAAAAAAAAAAAGGGGAAAGAGAAAGAAGAAAAGAGAGAGAGAGAGATTTGGAGTGAGAAGGGAGGAGGAGGAGAAAAGAAATGAGTGAGTTTAAGTTTAAAAACTCACTTTTTATGTTTTTAGAAAATATATATTTTTTAGCTAATCTTAAGTTCAGCTTTTGAATTAGTCTTAAATTCAGCTTTTGAAAATAGTCCTACCAAACAAGTTTTTAAAGCCTAAAACTTAAAAATTATTTTTAAATTTAAAAAGTTGGATTCAAGTAGAGTATCAAACAAACCCTTAAATTTTCAAGTGTTTTCTAGAAAAAGCAATTACTCGGACAAGTTGCTTTCCAAAGGGCATATTTGTCAATTTGCCCCTCAACTTGTATAGAGTTGTCAATTTTTTCTTTGAAATTTAATTTTAACCGATTAACCTCCTGAATTTTTATAATTAGTCAATTTTTCCTTTAAACTTTAATATTAGCCAGTAATCACCCCAGAACTTTTATAAACAGTCAATTTTATCCTTGATGCTAGATTTTAAAAAAAAATTCATCCAATTTTTCAATCTATTTTGATCACACAGACAACACTTGACAACTGTACGGGAGCAAAAAGAATGAAAAATTGAATGGATGAAAACATGATGAAATTTTTTAAAATCTAATGCTAGAAGAGAAATGGGCTATTTATAAGATTTTAGAGAGGTAATCAATTAAAGTTAAAATTCAGAGAGAAAATTAGGGGAAAATTGGTCAATTATAAAAGTTGAAGGCTGTAATAGGCTACAAGTTTAGGAAAAAGTTGGAACACTAGAGAGTTTTCATACCCAACGCGTTTAGGAGTGTTTTTATTGTCATAAAGCACTTTTAAGGCATTCTCAGCATGTTTAAGAATGCTAAAAGTGTTCTTACAATCAAAGATTCAAAAGCGCTTTTAACTAAGGTAAAAACATTTAGAAGCACTAGGAGGTGCTCTTAGGTGTAGAAATGGCTAAACAATTTCAGATTTAGCCGGTTTTTCGTGTGGATAATCTTTGAAAGAGAATTTAAAAACTGAACGGTTCTATTCGATCAACGAATCAGGTGAACCGCTCTCCGGTGTTCAGAGCCATGTTTGAGAATGAAGAGATGGAAGAAAGTCGGAGTGGTACCGTTAACATTGCCGATGTGCGCTACGATGCCCTACAAGCTTTTGTCAGCTACCTCTACACTGCTGAGACATGCCTTAACCAGAACTTGGCATGCGACCTCCTAATACTGGCTGAAAAATACCAAGTGCAGCATCTCAAGCACTACTGCCAGAAATTCTTGGTGTCCAAGCTCAACTGGGACAATGCGCTTACGACCTACACCTTCGCCTGGCGCCATAACGCGGAGGACGTCATGGACGCGGCCTTGGAAGTGATCACCGACAACATGGACAAGCTCACTGCCCGGTTGGAGTACGACGATTTGGTGAAGAATGATCCCCAACTCGTCATCAAAATCTACGAAACTTATCTCTCCAAACAGGTTAATACTGATAGGGAGGGAGATGGGGAGAGAGATTCTTCAAGTGGGGACGCGAGTGGCACGAAGGACTGGGAATGCGGGGAGTGAGGCTCGGGGTGGTGATCCCTGTTGATCGTGGAGGGAGGCGGACCGTTGTGCGGATTTCTGGTGGCCATCTGCAGCTTTAGGAGGTCTTTCTGTGTGGTTTGTTTGTGTGTGCTGGGCTCCAAGGTTGGGCTTCAGCCATTATCTTTATATGTTTGTGCCCCCTTTTTCTTTTTTTTTTCTTTTTTTTTTTGTGCTTAACTTGTTTAGGCCTTTGTTGTACTTGTGTTGATTGGTAATGAAATTTACCTTTTATCAGGAAAGGAAAAAAAAATAATAATGAAAAGAATTTGAAAACTTTGAGTTTTAATGATATGGATAAAATAAATAGTAAATTGAATAGTACCTAGATTGATTTCTTAGTGTAAAAATGTGGTTTTTCGTTAAAGTGAACAATACTGCAGCCTTTCGTTAAAACTCCCTTAAAAAAATAAAAAATAATAATAATAAAAAACTAGATGGCCATATTTTTTTTTTTTAAGATGACCGTAATTTCTCATTATTACTACAGTCTAATGATATTCTTCTTTACTTGTAAATGAGAGATCTTGTCAAAAATGAATTTGAACCACATTATTGCTAGCCAGATAGCCATAATTTGAAAAATCCATGATTAAAATTTGGATGTCAATAATGTTTCGAAAACTCAATTCCTAAGAGCACTTCCACCAGTGGTGGGATAGGCCAGCACACAGCCAAAAAAATGGCCCGACACTCTCTCCAACCCACGGGATTGCCTGACACCCAGCCCAAGCTGGTCTCCAGGCCAGCCCAAAATTGACAGACCTTGGGACCGGCCCGTATGACGCCGTGGTGATGTCAGGGATGGATGGAGCGGCGGAGGGAGAAGGAAAATGGCCTGAAAATGATGGCTTGAGTTCGATGGAAAATCTGAAAAAAAATGCACTGACAGCAAATTTGCATCAACACAAGGGTTTCCAACACGATTTATATGTTAGAAACCATAAGAATAGGATTGAGAACTTACCCAGGTGAAATGCAAGAGATTTCACCGAGATTGGATCTTGAACTCGTCGGAGTTGTTCGTTTTCCTTTGTCGGAATCACATGCAAGGAATTAAGCCCTCAAATTAACCACAAAAATTGCAACACAACAGGATTTAAAGCTTAAGAACACAATACAGTGATAGAAACATCACCTGGGTTCGAGATTGAGAGCTCAAGCTCTCAGCTTCAATGGTAGGATCTCGCACCATGCACCGATGCCGCATGCAAGGCCATGGTTGGGTTCCTTGAGCTCCAGGGATTACAAAAATAATATTTTGTGTTTGATTTGTTGAAGGTTTTGAAGAGGAATGAGAAGGAGAGCTCACGGGAATGAGCTGGAAAAGAGACAGAGAGAGAACCGGTTGGGGATTATGGGAAGAGTGCAGAGGGTTAGTAGAAAGATGACTTACCTTTTTTTTTTAATAATACAATTATTATTTTATTATTTTATAATAAATAATAATAATATTTTAATAAAATTGACTAGGCTATTTTTTTTAGGAGTGGAAATGCCCTTGGTTTATTACTGTTTATTGAAGTCTATCACTGTTTACTGAGTGGATAAATACGCTGAGTGCTGGCGCAAAGTCTTTATGGGTGAAGTTGCTCTAAACTTTGTAATCCGCAGCATTTCAATCCTTTTTACTGGGACGTTGATACTACTGCATCAGACTACACAGAAGCCTCCACTGATGACTATATCCGGGAACCACATTACCACACAGCCCCGCCCCTTCGCCGGCAGTAGATATTTTGCTGCCTAACTAGACGGCCGTAATACTTTACCGTAATCGAAACACTGAAGCTCATCTTCCTTTCTAGGTATATTTATGCAGGTCATGGGCAATAAATTAAAAAAAGGAAGCGAGATTGTTCGTTTGTTCTTGCTAATCTTACAAATTACACAGTATAAAACAATGGCAATAAGTTAGTTGCAGTGCTTTCTCTTCAATGGTGCGATTTCAGGTAGATTTCCACCCATTTACAGAAAAATACATCGACTTGTTTACACCCGAATCCGATCAAAAACGCTTGTCACCGATTAAGATCTTCCAGCTCGCATGGGGTCCTTCTCCGGTGTCATGTAGCGCAGGCACCCATCCAACGGCACTCGCGATTTCTTGAAGCTCAGCAATTACAGATACTGAGTCACGTATGTAAATACGTCCACCAGGCCTCAGCATTCGATCCATCTCGAGCATGATGGTTGAAATATTACACCTGTTCCCAACACAAGCAGGTTAATAGAAAATATATCTACTCTGCACTGCATGAAGGCGGACAAAGAAACAAATACAATAGGCTAAAACTAAAGCACAAAGTTATACCTCGTTTTCTCAATAGAGAAGAGACCGGCTGCATGTATCAAGTCGTATGTTCTCGGATAAGTATCAAACGGCTCGCACCTAAGAAACATAAATTTGAGCATCATGACCATGTCCGAAGGAATTAGTAAACAAATAAAGCATAACATCGTTTGCATAAATTAATATCACACTAACAGGTGACCCAAAAGGGGCGTTCACAGAAAATTGTGGCTAGTGTAGAGGCAACCACACCGTAAAACCAAGTTTTATGTGAAAATATGGTATAAAATCCAAGAAAAGAGTTAAAAACAGAAAGCAGGTGTGTTTCCCATACCAGTCATGCATAACTCCAATAAGTCCGCGGTCATATATGACTGGCAAAGTATTGAACCCAGAAACAGGAACAACGTTCATAACCCAGCAATCCATCTGGTGATCAATCAATCCTGCTGCAAACCTGCCAAGGCCAAAACAATTTTTACCGTTTCTCTCTGGATTCGAAAGACCACTGAAATAGAAAGCTTTAAGGTCTATGTAATGGAAAAAAAGAAACAATTATTTGAACGTATACCCTCCATATCCAGCCCTCATGTCCAATATGTTTCTAAAGTTTAACTCTCTCCAATGGAAAGCGCCAATATAACCAGATAATATTTCATGCCAGTACTTTGCCTCTGCCCTAAAGATTTCCTTTCTCGATATGTAGGCATCTAGCTTTATGCTCTGGAGCCTTTCTGGTGGATCTTGAAGGCGTGCAGGCCATGTGCTAACATTTGCTCCAAAACCATTCTCAGGTAATCGACTGATGCATGCCTTTAAACTAACATTCCTGCAAAAGGTATAACTAAGGGTTACTGTGGTTATAGAATACATATACTTTATTTATTACTCAGCAGCTAGGTAGGGCTCGTGATCTTTTTGTGAGATATCAAATTTGAATAGGACATAGAGTATACCCAATAATGAGACTAGAAGAACCACTAGTGCAAGGTTTTTGTTAAATTTATTAGCTATGTGTACATGGAAGGGGCCATTATATTCAAAGTGTTAACTTTAGATGAAAAACTCAAATTGAATTAGATTAATCACCATGTTTTCACATCTTTCCTTCCACAACCTTTATCATATATACCAAAAGCCTTTTGGTTCGAGCAAGTTTGATCAACACTCTCTCCTCAAGACACAAGATAAGGTTTGCACTGCCCCTCAGGAAATATGTTAGATTATCATTACCAAGTCTACAGGAGTCGGGATAAAGGTCCAACTGAACAACATACGCATTTTTGACAAAATGTATTGAACCAGGTATATGGATTGACATTTGAAGAATTCTACTAAACCAAAGTGAACCTTGAAGTAGGACTTACCAGACATTATCTGGATTGTCATTTGTATCACATAATGGAGGCTGCACACTGGCATCACGACTAAGATAACAGCTATTGTTCAAAGGCTTCCGCCATATAGCAACATATCCCTTCTTATTTACAAGCTCCCAACAAATGTGAGTAGTCAGGTTCTCCATTTCTGTTAATCGATAAAAACAAACATTAGTTTGAGAGCTCAAACAGAAAAAAACTTAATAATTCTACTTTCTTGTCAAATGGGAGAGAAGATGAACCAATGCAAATGAAAAAGAACGATATATAATAGAAAAATTCCGCTCAAGCTTTCAACGTGCATAGATACAGCAAGTAGGTATGAACCTAGAATATATATTACAAAATGAGCTACCTTTCCATTGTTCTTGTAGGGCATCTTCATGTTTATAAACGGGCTGTGCTGCCCAAACAAAGTATCCTCCTGCTCTTAGCAACCTGTCAGCCTCGAGAAGCAAAATTCCATCTTCATCACATAATCAAAAGAACAAAGGATTCTTTGAGTCAAATAGCTTTTGTGAACTAGTATCAAATGCATTACATATATATTCCATTCCAAATCAGATAGAAAAGCATAGAAACAACTAGCAAGTAGTGACTGATACGCAATTTAGAAAGACCCCTAAATCAATAAGACTGGATCATAATGAACCTTTAGCTTATGTTAAAGGTTTAAAGATCACGGATTATGCCATCAAATATCCATGAAAGAGAAAAGGATTACCATCTCGGGTCCAATTAATTCTACATCTTGAACAATGGATCAAGTCAAAAGCCTGGCTTGGATACAACAAGCGGTGAGTAGCAAATACTGCCACCATTGCAGGCACACCACGCTCTAGTGCAAACTGTATCTGATTCTCATGAACATCTTTTGGTGCTATTGACAGAGTGGTCACATTCCGCTGCATCAAAAAGGCACCAAAACTCGCTACTCCACAACCAATATCTAAGGCAACTCGAGTTTTGTGACCAAATGCAATGTCAGCAACCATCTGCGCATTCAATTAGAGAGGCAGCAATGAATATCATGTAAACAGATGCAAATACTAAATGAGAATTGTGCAAGAAACTAACATCTGAAATCTGATTCAAGTATTCATCTGCCCCATGAATGAACTGCGTTCCACCTCCTGGAAAAACGAATTTATCTTTTTCTACCCGTATCCAATTCTGACCACCTTTATCATCAACTAGTCGAGTATGGGGTACATTACTGAACCACACCTGTAATCATATCCTCATGTTAGCCAAAAAGAACACTCATTCTTAATCAAACCAGGTGAAAGAGTAATATGTTGCACATGAAGAGCTACAGAATGATGGAATTTTGTCTTCAGTTCTGGAGGAAGATGCAAGTCAATGCACCAATATTCAAGTCATTTCAATGCCAGAATTTATCATTCTCTACAAGGAATTACAAGTTCAGTTAATGTGTGCATATAAAGCTTAAAAAAAAAAAAAGAAAAAAAAAAAGAGATTACTTGGAATCAAAATCCAACGAAAAAAAAGAAAGAAATCAGAACTATTAGTTCATTACTACTGATTTGTTTCTAAAAGAGAAGCGAAAAGTGAACGGCAAATTGCTATCATCACTCCTCAAAGGCTTTCATCCAAATTTCCAGTGCGAATCCCAACAATCCATTTCATCTCATCCACATTTGTACATCATGAGTGCAAGAATTAAACCCTACTGAAATTTAGACTTACACTTCTTCCCCTTGTCGTTTACAATTGCAAATTAACAGTTGAAATCAATTGCCGTACTTTTCACTCACACAACCAAATTAAATGCAACAGCAACACTTAAACCCATTCAAATTTCAAACAAAGCAAGAAACATTACCAAAAACAGAAATCAAACTTTTGCGCACTTTGGAATCCAAATTACCTCATCTCGGCTCTGAGGCCACGGTATTCGAGTCTGATAGCCCTTCGGCCTCGGCACCACGCAATTCAACTCCTTGCCCTGCCCAGGACAATGCCTCTCGTACTTTTCCCCCCTCTCACTCGAATTCCACCTCTTAATCTCCTTCACATTGTCCAAACACGGTATATAATCCGTCATGCGCTCATTGCACAACTTATACTTCCCAACCCTAACCCTAACACCACCACCGTCCTCCAGTTTCTCCTCTCCTCCACTCACGTTCCTCAAATCCTCGATCAAACTCGGGTCGAACTCCCCGACCTTGAACTCCTCCGACATCGCGCCGTTCTCGTCGACTATCCCCATCCTCTCAACCTCCGGCGGCGGCGGAGGCGGCGGTGACGGCGGAGGAGGGGAAGGAGCTGCCGGAGGATTCGGAGGATGCGATTCCAGCGGAGGAGACGCAAGAGACGGAGTATGCGCTCCGGAAGACGCGGCGGTGGAGGAGAAGAAGGGGAGGGAAGGATAGGTAACAGAATAGTGGTTGGCGAGTAGGAAGAGCGAGACGGAGAGGAGGGCAACGGCTGTAATTTTGATGAATGTCGGGGTCTTTAGGATGTCGGTGGCGGTGGCCGCGAGGGCCTTCATGATCGGATATGAATTCGATTTTCTCGGGAAAATGATGGAAAGAGGAGGAAAATTTTGAAGGGAAAACAGAAGACGGACGTCAATGGAAATTTAATAATTAAATTAAATTAAAAATTAAATGGATAATGAAATGAATGCAGGTGGGTTTGCTTGTGAAGAAGTACAGTGAAGAGCTTCGCTTAAGACGTACTTAAACGTTGGGGAAAATTATTATTATTATTAAACTTTCATTATTTAATGATTCTATTTGTGGAAACTTTGGCGGTATCTGGTTGGTTACAGTTGTGAATCTGATTAGCGTACAGCTCATTCGGAGGGCTACTTGCTCGGTATACTTATACTGTCATCGAAGCGTCTCGTGTTAATAATTAAATTTGACGTGGATAAAAATGTACACACGCGTCTTTATATTATTAAGAAGATTGGAGCAATGACTTATAAAATTTTGTCTAGTTGGAGCTTTGAAGAATAAAATTCTGTGAGTATTAGTTTCCGAGTTTATTACAATACCGAGTAAATGTCTTTTTGACTAGGTCAGTTAAAAATTTTAACCAAAATAAAAGGTTTTAAATGAAAAAAAAAGAACGAAGCTTCATAAAGAGTTAATCATACTAGATCAAAGAATCAATGTGTTACCAAAAAAAAAGAAATCAATTAGTAGATCAAATTTCAACTACGTTTCTTCAATTATCTATGATATTATTAGAACGTGACACTCAATAATAGCATCCACACATCATATAATTTGTTTACACTGGGGTTTGTGCCACGTGGAATTCATGCAGTTGTCTCACTCATTGGATTATATTCCCATTGCTTTGTCTTTTGCGTTCTTTGACTGTTTTTTTTTTTTTTTTTTTTCTTTTTTTCTTTTAGTGGTGGTTGGATAATTGGATTGGTGGGGATTTAAAGGTTAATTTGTTTGTGTACTTTGTCTAACTGTTGCAATTAATTGGAAATCTAAATTATGTCTTTTTTCATAATGATGCCCCAATCTCATTCTTTTCCGTAGGTCGTAGCTATTAACTACTTATTCATTTCTCCGATGCTTAAAAAAGAAAATATTTATCAAAATTCACACAACTATTAATCCATTAGTTGCTTTAATTTTTTCTATCAAAGGTTGTTGTAAAATTTTGCTCAAAAAAACGTTGTTATAAATTTTTTGGAGCTTTAATAAAACACTTTCAGTATTATTTACTTTTAATAAAAAATCACATTTTTACCTTTTTCTGGTACTATTCACTACACCTTTATTTATCATTTTTCATTAAAACTAAAGTTTTTTTAGATTTTTTGCTAGTTTTTCTTAAATTTTTTTATAGTGGTTTTATTTTTATTTTTATTTTTTAAAGAAAAAGAAATGACCACATGCTCACCTGTGAGTTTCTTAAAATAAAAAATATTCGGATATTTTATACTTTAATATGTTCAAACAAATTCAAGTCAAGCCAAATTAATTTGCATCGCAATTAAACACTCAAAGAAAGCATCATTATGTATACTTTTTTTTGAGTACATCGATATTTTTACACTAAAAGGAGGGAGAGTTCGGCTAAACCACATAATAGGCAGTCTAACTTGATATTGAATTCGCCATTCACGAGATTCGAATCTAAAACCTCTCACTTCCAAGTGACGAGGAATATCTTTAGACTTGAGTACTGAGTGGCATCATCGTTATATACTTTAACTAAAGTAAAATATGTGGCCCTTTAAGAATCATTCTTTATCACATGCTAATTAGCTTATAATATGTGTGCAAAAACTTTTATTTTATAGTTTAAATGAGATATTTTAATATTTGTGTAAAGATGAATGACTCTATATATGTAAGGAGCCAAACAACACTCTTAGCTAGTTAGTACGATACGATTATTTTGTTTGCGAAACATAAGTAGTGAACATGTAAATACTTGCTAGTAAATTGACCATAGAGGACAGTCTCAGAAGAGTCCCCTAGGCTATGGCCCAGCTAAAAAGAGACCAATACTTCGGCCCATCTCATAAACCCAACGTCAAATTTTTGCCACAACCGGACCTCAATTCCATTGCCACGGGCATCACCACCATCTCCACGGCACAAAAGCAACCATCGAAGGGAAACACAGTTATACAATTATACAGTTCTTCAGGGCAAGTATTAAATAGTTTTACCAGTTGCCACCCAAATTACTTAGACAATATTTATTGGAATCATATGATAGTTTGTTTACGCAACACATCGTCTCTTTCAACGTTGTGTGGAGAGTTATAGTTTTAGTAATATAGAACTTACCTCCTCACATTCACGACAAAAATTGAACTCTTATTCTCTCATTTCCTAAAATATGAGAAGTGGCATACCTCAATATTCTTTCTCACACCTCATGTATCACGAACTTTGAGAGCATATTTATGTGATCGCGATTCATGCACACATTCTCCCCGGTTCTTATTTTATAAGACGGAATTTTTAATTTTTTCTACTTTAGGAAAAAATGAATCCTAACTTAAGTGCAAGATGGTAAACACATTGACTTGACTAATTGGCTCGGTCTTTCTCTAGTATATTTTCCTTTATAAATGCTTTGATTACAAGATGATCCCAATTACTGCCATTAAAGAACGTTAGAAATAATTGGTTGACTTGTGAAATAATTGGTTTACTTGTACGAGGTAAACAATCTTCTCATTGCCCTTTTTGAAATGTCCAAGTCTCCTCTTAAAACACAAACCCTTCCGTACGAGGCAAGCAAAGGGGCATGCACTTGTGGGGTTGCTTTCAAAAGATTATTCAAAAGAGTATTATGAATGCTAGGAATTTGAACAATTGTTTTTTTTTTTTTTTTGGTCAAAGATTTGATTAACAATAGTCGCAATTTCTAGGTCAATTATGCAACTTCCAAGAACCAATGCATGATGGTCGAGTTGGTTTTTGTACGAATGACGTAGCACTTTCTCAAAAAACTTAGGGTTACGTTTTGAACTTTGAGCAAATGAAATAATTAAACACCAAACAAGTCAATATAATATGTAATTAGTGAGCTTGGATTAATTTCCCTTAATATTGATCAGATAAAATTATTGTCATCATTAACTGCTATAGTTTTGATCAGAAAAATCGAACACATAACTATGAATTCATAGGTAAAAGCTTTAAAATAACTTGAGCTACAAATTCCTTGCCATTCTTATTATCTTAAGTGAACCCATAAAATATTAATAATACAATGTCGATAAGTGACCTAACCCATTTAATCATTTTAATATCTTAATAAAATTTGTTATCTATTAACACGATCAGGACACAATTTTATTCTGTATCTTATAATATACATGTCATAGTCCTATTGGCTATAGCTTGGTCGACATATCTACCTAAAATGATATGTTTCCTTAGTAAATCAGGCTGAAAAATGTATATTTGACGTGTTAATCATGTAACCCCAAACATTGATTAACGGATAAATTATTACATGCGCTAAGTCGTGCAATTGTTCAATAATCAAGTCCAATCATATATATGACTACCTTCGAGTTTAAACTACAAGATTAATATACATTTTAAGCTTATATACTTATATATTATATACAAATTTTTTAATAAAATATGGAGATACAGGGGACAGAGGGATCGTTCTATCAATAAATTCGTTTTTTTTACCGTTCTGAGTGGAAATAAAATAGTCTACTTTGTAATTGATGGCTAAACCCCAAGGTCTTCGTTCTTTCTTACTGCAAGATTAAGACTACTTTTATAGACGATGACCAAATTATTTATGTAGCTCGACTCACCTAATCTATTATCGTCTTTTATTGTGGTACATGAGTTTGCCACTATGCCAAAACTGACTTTTTAGTTTTTACAGATAAATTAGTTGTTTTCTTAAGTCCTCAACTTGTTATATTGGACCATACACGTGCAGTTGAATTTTAGTTGAAGTCAAAGTGGGAACTTCGTACTTCGTAGTAACCCGCCAAGGTCCAACCGTACAAGTCTTACCATGCAGAGTGAATGCATGGCAGTCTGTTTTTTCCACAAGGAACAGTTGTTGTTAACAGCATATAGCCGACTTTCTTGTTGTGAATTGTGATGGGGCTACATTCCTAGAAATATTATATGCAGTTGAAACTTGTGTATTTTTGTGTACTTTTAGTTAGGTGGAAAATATTGTTGATATATTTTATTTTTTAACGAATTATAGTATAAGTGAATGATATAAATAATATGATTGATATGTATCATTTTGAATGTATTTTAATAAAAAATAAATAAAGATGTATTATAATTTGAGCAAAATTGACAACAATATTTTAAGTATAACGAAAAATCTCTCCTAATTTTGAGGTAATCTGAAAAGATTTCAATGTATATTGATAGGTGGAATTGTCAAAGTACATTAGTCCTTTCATATACATCATTGAACTTTCTTAAAAGATCTTGCTTAAGACTATGGGAATTCTTGCTTTAGCTGTTGCGTTAATTTCTAAATATTAATTTGGTTGCTTGGTTTTCCTATGTATGCTCCCTTCCTAGTAGTTGTTAGTTGTTACGTTTAGATTAGGTGGGAAGATTGACGCGTAAAGGGCAATAAAAAGAAAAGAAATTTGATATGTTTCTTATATATATATGGCAGGTTCTTCTTCTAAAAATAATTTTTATGTACGATGAGCACACTGTATCGAAGTCTCACAAAATTGGCGGTTGGTTTATAAGATGCTTAAGAGCCTAGATTATTAAGTTTAATTGACAAAAGAAGTTAATAATGTATTAGCAGTCGTTCAGTCAAGTAATGAGAGGGCACCAATTAAGTGCCTTAGAATAATACAATTTTGGTGGATCCGGATTCGACTTGTTTTTGTAAACGACCCCGAGCCGGTTCATGTTTACATATTTTTATTAATGGAACCAGTTCCAATTACGAATCACACTAATCTGTTATCAATTATATGTCGTGTAACAAAATAACAATATAAAACAATCTCTATATGTTTTGTTAGAAAGAATTGCATCTATCTGTTATTAATTTTAATATATTAAAAAAAAAAAATTTTACTCGCGGACTTGCTCTCCCCTCACACAAACTGTTTATGAAACTTACTACATACACTGTTTATGAAATTTAATGGTACTATACTATTTATGATACTTAACAGTACGACACTGTTTATGAAACTTTCCACACTGTTTATGAAACTTAACAATACTACACTGTTTATGAAACCTAACAGTAGATGCTCTTCCCAGATTTTCAAGTTCTTTCACCAGAATGCAATAAAAATATTTAAAAATAAAAAATAAAAAAAACATGATAGAGATTAACTTCCACGCCATTAAAGTCATGCATGGCTAAAAAATGTGTGATGAGATGTTGTCAATGATGTTGCCCTACCCCTACCCCCAATCATCCCAACCCACACTTGACCGACTCCTTCTCAACCATACCGCCCCAAATGTGGTTCTAAATCAAACAGAACCCATTTCAATTTGAAATTTTAATTTTAGAGGTATAAAATATGCTTGGATTATGTCAAATAGTTATGCAACTGAAGGATTGATTGGGTGCTCTTTGCATGCACCTTTAGTTAGGTTTTTTTTGTTTTTTGTTTTCTTTTTCTCTTGTCTTTATCATTAAATAAAGTTATATGATGATTTTTTGTTAAAACTCAAAGTTTTGAAGTCATTTTCATTAATTTTCCTTATTTCAATATGTCCATGCAATTACTCTGGTACTAGGAGCCTTGCTAGGTACCATATATATGAGAACTTAGGGGTGACGTGCAGATTATATTGCATATTATTTTGATAAATGTAGATTATATTGTTTAGATGATTGAAATCACAAGCTGATGGATCCCATCCAACAACCAATGTATACTAGCACCAATTGCTAGAGGAAGAAGGATGATGCTGACCTATTAACCTATACCTTGCTCGAGAGAGTTTAACAAAACTCATCTTCAACCTATTGTGTTTCAAATTCAAACTCTTTCACTTCTCAAAATTTAACTTGCAATAAAGTAGTAATATCGCTTGGAAAAAGAAAAAAACAACCATTTGTCATTATAAAGAATTGCTGGGCAGGGGCTGCAAATACTTGCACTTTAAATTTCAAAAAAGTTGTAAATGGGGAGCATGGGAATTAATTAAGAAATAGTATTTTGGAACATCATGGTTTTGAATTCCTGAAAGTCGAGCAGGCCGTCCAAGTTGGTGTCGAACACGCGAATCATAGTTCTACAGTCCCGGCTGCTATTCTCCTCCAAAACCCCCAATCTCCTCAGCACGCTCTCAAGCTCCTCGCTAGAAATGAAGCCATCGCCGTTCAAGTCAAACACACCGAATGCCTTCGCAAGGTCCTTCTCATCTTCATCTTCATCTTCCTGGCCATCAACACCGACATCCTCACGAATGTCACCGCCTTCATTTTCGCCACTGGCGTCACCTTGCTGCATGGATATGGACTTGTAGAAGAACAAGAACTCGTTGATGTCAAGGCTCGGTTTTCCCACGAGGGACTCGAGCTCGTGCAAGCTGAATTGCACGCCGATTCTCTCGATGAGCCAATTGAGCTCCTCGAGACTCACTTGCCCGTCTCCATTCTTGTCGAGATTTTCGAAAATACGGTGCAAGTCGTTGGTGCTTAGAGGACACATCATGTAGATTGTTGTCAAGCAAAAAGACTAAAGAAATACAATACGAGTATTGAACTGAATGTTATGAAATATGAGAACCTCTTGGTAATGCCTATGTTTCAGGTCATTATATATATATATATAGGGTTGGAATATAGGAAGTTCTGTCTGTTGTACTTGACTTGTACGGCATGTAGAGCAACTTGGCACGAAGTTTCCTCATGAAAGCAACATGCATATATATATGGTACGCATATTCCATTACCTGTAGCTTGTCAACTATTCCAACAAGTGGAATTGTATTATGTATGAGTTCTTTTATTTAATCTTCAAAATTGGGCTTCAAGAGGATGTTAGTGCATTTAGGTTAAGATAATGCAAGTTACTTAATGGCATCAAATGCGCAAAAGGTCACTTGTTTGACATCAAGTTCAATGAGAAGTGAACTCGAGACATCCTCAATCAAATGAAGTTTATGCGTGATTACTCGTGTATATACACATTTGATTATTTGAACCAATTGGGATCCTATCCACATTTTTCTTACAAAGAAATGGGTGAAACTCATATCTACCATCTTTTTTATAAAACAAAACATTGGGACATAGAATTCAGGTTAAATCACATGATGAATAGATAATAATTAGGTATTAAACTCGTCGTCCATGAAAATCAATTCTCAAATCAACCATTAATTCATCTTTCAACATACCATTAGAGTCAAACCTACAAGTCAAGGAACATGTCCCAAATCATGGGTAGGGTTGTAGGGACCTTATTCATTTTGTTTTTGGTATGCAAATAGTGACCTTTTGTATTGTTTAATGTTTGTGTTATACTCGTGTATCAGGTTGCTTCACAATATATTATTTTCAAGATTTTTTTTTTCCGGTCAGAATTTGTTCTTTTATTTTTTGAAAATATTAAGGAGATTTTTCTGAAAAATGAGACTTGATGAAGAGGAGACACATGGTTTTTGTGGTAGTTAGAGGTGAGCTAATCCGATCAGGCCCGAACTAAAAACTTACTAAAATAAGTTTGGAAAAAAAAAAAAAAAAAAAAACCGACTTATGATTTAAGTAATTAAAAACATTTGTTGTAAACTCAAAGATTTAAGAGCAATTTCCTCTTTCTTAATATTGCTTGTATTTGTATAAAATGCAGAAAAAGGACGAATTTTACAGACAACACCAATATGGGGTTGGCAGAAAAACCTATGCAGAAAAAGGACGAATTTTACAGACAACACCAATATGGGGTTGGCAGAAAAACCTAACGAGGCATGACAATTGAGCTACAATCCATAACCGTCCAAAGAAATATTTGTTTAGAAAACAGAGGACTAAATGCCACCAATTGGTGAGCATTCTAGAAACTCCCAAAATCCACCATTCGTGCTCAATGCGGTTATCACATTGTTACATGATATTATCAATCATCATATTATACTACATATATTTATTTATTGTTATTATATTCTAAATTTATGACATATAAACCATACCACCCACACAATTATAAAATCTGAATCAATAACACAACAGGGCGGTGCGACTTTAGACTCAAATATATTTTCCCAAACAACCCAATTAAAAAGTTGGGTGACCATCAATTTTTCATTTCCATTTTTAATAACAAAGAGAATAAAAGAGGAGAGAAGACAAATTCTAGAACGGCACGAGGAGGTAGGTATGGAATTTAAAATTGGAAATCACGTAACAAACACAAAAACCTAATTCAGGTCTTGCCAAAAACCACATTTAAAAAGAAAATCAAATAATAATTTGAACCAAATTAAAAGAAAATACATTATTTGTGGCCCTAACACGAATAACATAAAGAGAGAAGCAAACGAAATAAAAAACAAAACAAAAGATAATCTAAAAACTTAGAAAATCCGTACCAAAGCTTTCACCTGAAAGACCCAACGAATTCAGCTTAGAAGACGTTTCTTCACTTCTTCTCCAGCTCTTCAATCTTGTTGATTCTGAAGCCCCTTGTTCTCAGTTCCTCCGGTACCGACGGATCTTTGTAATCGACGTGTTCGAGTACCCAACCCTTGTTTACGACCGAGCCCTCCACTTTTACCTGTCGAAAGGGTAAAACTGTTGTAACATAATACAGAATCACCCGCCCTTAAAGTATGCAACCTTCAACGTACTAAAACAACTTCCTTCTCTGTTAATTAAAATCCCCGTATTATGTTGAAAATGCTAATCCACCTATACGTACTGATGCCAAAAAGTGAAAATCCGCGAGATGACTAAGAATCGAAGGAAAGTCCGAGGATGTGAATAGGGGTCCATAGTGAGAGTTGTGCTTTAGACCATCACAAACTTGAGTTGCAGAAAACAATAAAATTTGCAGAGAGTAAATCTTATGATATGGGAAGTTTGGGAAACTAGCACGGACTAGGATATTTGCTAACAGTAATGATATTTTTGGCATGTTCGGATTAGATGAACTGGACGTGTTCATGATTTATCTATAGTTAGAACTTGCAAGTAATATGTATTCTGAAAAGAACTAAAGTTTGCCAATTTGCAACTCTCATATCAAAAATTATCCATTTTCGACATACCTCTGCGTCATCAACTGGGTCAATAACAAGAGCCCCATCCAAGGAGAGAGAATTGATGAAGACATTCCGGCCTTTGATAACCAATGTAGACCTCTGAGAAATTGAGCAGCTTCCACTGACTTTGCTTTTTATGTCTGTAAAAGTGATAGCCCATTTTGGCTTCCACGTGATACGAGGCCACACTTCTACTTCTTGGCCGCTGATCACCTGTTGTTCTGGATCAGCTACTTGGATTCCGGCCTGGGAAGCATAAAAGTAAAACACAAAAATTCAAACTGTGACAGAGGGAGAAGGATAGAGATAAGGGCAGCTCAACATCTCCAGACGGGGTTTTCAGAAATCACAAAACATCCCTAAACTTTCCCTAGGTCATCTTGCAGCGACTGAATAAAAAAGAAAAAATAACAAAAATTTCAGACGAATTGGTGATTTGAGAATTTATCTCATGGTTCAATTGGGGACGGTCCTCTGTTGTTGGGTTGTTGTGAAGGACAGGTTAAATGCCTAACTTCTGATTTGATAAATGTTTTATCTTCTAAGGTGATTATAATCATACACCGTGGATGATTATAAACAGCATATTGGGCCCTCGGATCCCTGGGGAAGAAGATCAAATTGATTCTTTTAAAAAATTAATGCACCATCCTCCGACTATTCCAGGCAATGTCAGGCATAATAATATTCAGAAACATGTGGGTGTGGTATAACAATAAAAGAAAGTTTAGCATCACGGTGTTGAATTAAAATACCATCTTAAAACAATTACCTTTCTGAGAATTAGGCTGTTTGCACGATAAACGAGCATTTCTCCAGAAGTTGCACTGTGATATGGATTTCCCTTTGGTACCTTCAGTTAAATTCCAGCATAAAATTAGTAAGAAAATCAAACCCGCAACCCCAAAGACCACAACCTGCTCTGATAAAAGGAGGATATAGCACCATACTTCAAATTTTTTATTAAATTTGGCTGATTTTGTCATATGACATAAATGAAACACTAGAAATAACTTAAAGGGCACTAATTATACGTACCTTAGCAGCATCCTCAGGGTTGTTCTTCACAGGTGCATAAGCAAGCCATGGTTCCATTACCTAAGCAGTAAGCAGTGACATGACAGCTTGTTATTTGACTCAATAACAGCAATACTTAAAAAAAATTGAAAATTTGTTACAATGCCACGGGGAGAAGCTATTCCCTTTTTCAGGCGAGAGAGAGGGCTGAAGCTATTCGTCTTAATAAAATAAAGGACCCATCTTGCACTAGGGAAAAAATGACCACGCATATAAAAAGGCTTAAAGGCATAATCTCAGGCCAAAAGGATAATTACCGTGAATCCCACCCTAGCAGATGGAGGCAAAGTTCTTGGATAGTCTTGCATCATACACTCTAAGCGAGTTGAGGACTTAAATGAAGTCTTACTAGCATCTTTATATCTACAGCAACAAGGGAAATACCAGATACGATATTAGTGGAAAACAATTCTCACTATTCTCTTGTACTAGCAATCTAGCAAGTACTTTTAGAGTAAGAGAAATGAAAAGTATATCACATATCTCAAGACGTAGATGGAAAAGGTATTTAGTTCTGGATTCTGGAGCAAAAGTTCCAAAGTGATGGAATTATAATGCTGAGTCTAACTTCTTATACAGCCCTATAATCCATAATCAAAAGGATCTCCTACTAAAAGTGCACATAAAACGTATAACTTTATTACCAAGGATAAATATCATCTCTTCTTGCATGGAAAATGAAGATTTGTTACTTAATCCAGGCTGTCCAAGGTGTGGGTTCCCCTTGAATTAGGGGCAGGCCACACACTACCCTGTGCAAAATTTATTATCCAGATTGTCATCCGCCTTCTCCACTGATACAGAAATGGAGATGAGCAAGATCCTAATAACTAGACATTCTATAGGCCAAGTAATTAAAGACCAAACAGTCCTTTTCGCACAAGTGGATAACAGTTTCCCACACATATCAAACTTCTAAGCTCTGACTTATTCGACTAAGCCAGGCAATCAATTTTCAAGGTGAAGTATAGCTACACTACATGCTCAGCAGAGCCACCCAGGCTAATATTTTAGACTACCATGCCCTAATGACTGAAAGAACTAAGAGAAAAGTTCAAGAAAGTTACGAGAAACTTATAATCTCTTGAAAACAAGATTTACGCACAAAAATAACAAACCACATACAGCTCCAGCAACAAAAAAAATTAGAAGTCTAATCAAGGGAAGATTTACTTTGGATTAACAAACTCCTTTATGGCACCACCTGTTTTTGTGAGCTCCTCAATGTACGAACCAAGTTCCAAAATTAACTGCAATGAATAAATAAGCACAGAAGTTTCATTTGTAAGACAAATTTGGTCAGTATCAGTCTTACTCCAATTGTGGTGATATAAAAAAATATGTTGAACTCAAGGAAACATCCATTAAAAACATTAGTTGATAATGACAACAATTTATCACATTAAAGTATATGGAAACTTCTATCCTTTATTAATTTATTGTTCATAATATCTTTTTCCCACTTCCCGTTTTACCAGTTCTTCATGCAATATATTCAACAGCAACACTATTTATGTTGAGCATTGAATTATGATACCTCTCTCTAAGCTAAAATCATGAACTTGATAAAACTACTGGTGGCTAGAAGGCATATTTATTTTTGGAAGGGGTCAAGGGGATGAATGAAAATCTGTGCCAGAAGATTACCTGGTTGATATTCCCTGGGAATGGAGAATAGCCGGTCTCATTATTGACATCACCATCAGGATATCCAGTTGCTCTAAGCAGAGGATCAAGCTGGTTGTACTCCACATTGATCACCATCGACCTCCCTGAAGCAAGTTTTGCAGTTGAAGACATTATGTGTCAGGTTTATAAAGAAACAAAGGACTGTGATATTAAAGTTTCAGAAAACATAACAGTGTAGATTAAAGATATCTAGAATGCCATACTGACATATCCACATCCGACAAATTCCTGCTACATGACATGTGATGTGAAAGACAAGTGACAAAAACCTTAATTTCTATTGTTTGGATATGGTAATGTCTCTATCATAAGAAGCAACAGGTGACCCAAGTCCTGATTTTCTATTTAGGTAGAACAAAACTAAGAAGTTTGTGTATCCAAAAAGAAAAGGGAATCCCACAGAAAAAAAGCAGCAACAATAGTTCATTCATCTTAAATATGGAAACAAGTTCATAAACCACTGGCTTAAATCCATAAGTAGGGAGTAAATTAAAAGTGAATTGGAATAGATTGACTCAGAATACAGTCAAAGTCACATGAAAAATCTTTCAGAGAATGACTGCCATCACAGGAGTTAAGCAATTCCAAACCTAAAAAGAGGTTATAATGATATATCTTATAGCATTTATAAGGACAAGGAACCGTGTTACATACCATCAGCATGAGTAAGTCGGGTAATTCCTCCAATCGCTTCTTTTGCTTTGCGCGGAACAGCTAGGGAATTAACATGGTATTCTCTGGTAGCACTGACACCCAAGGCCGCTGGGATTGCCTACAAAACAAGAGGCATAAGGAGATAGGCTTCTGACTGCACATCCGATAACAACCCCTCAAATTAGTAGAAAATGTAGACGAAACCCATAAAGCAACTAACATTGAATAGAAGTCCATTTGTATCTTGGAAGAACAAAACCCATCTCAAACCAGCATCATGCCTGTAAAATGATAAAACACAATTATATATCATGAAAGTGAAGATTGTCAAGGCATATATAGAAAGGTCATACATGCAGAACCTTTCTAGTTTCTAACAAGCAACTTCAGCCAAACTAAAGTTTGAAAAAGAAATGAATATTTTAGAAGTAATGTAGCATTATCTTTAATCATTATCTCATCAGGTGATCATCAGTCAGGGAATATTTAGCGGCTT